CTGACAGAATGCAGTGTTTTCTAATCTAGAGATTGTAAAAAGGATGTAGCACACGCACTGTCGAGTCAAGTGCCAGTGGATTAGAGACCTGCTCCCACGAGACCCGATGCAACAGAGTGCGGCGCGGGACAAGATGGGCGAGTGCTGCTGCGGGAGGGTAGACACTCGTGTGTGTGTGCGGGATGTGGGAAAATAAAATGATTCACGGGACTCCCGCAAAATAGAAATATCTAAACATAAAATACCTAAAACAAATAACTTGTTATTCATCTATTGCACAAAAGCAACATGAACGAATATAAAATATAAACGATTAACAGGTGCAAGTGTATGCAGAGTTTCTATTTAGGCTATAACAGGTGTTTGCAGCGTTGAGCAATGCAGTGCTGAAATTTGCGTGCTCACGAATCCTCTCATTATAACACACGAATTGTAGACATTATGAAAGATTCATTATGCATATATTTATTGTGTTTAAACAGAGATTTGTGAGATTGCGATGAACTGAGATGTCTTTTAGAGATTATAAATGCAGCGCTCTTTGCTGGCATTCTGACATGCCAAACCATGCACACAGCAGCCGCTTGCTTTAGCTAAAAATAACAGTGTTCTGTGAATGTTGATGCTTTAATAACAAATATTTATCGGGAGCGTGTATGCTGGGATTTCATAAATTTCATGGAGAAAAAAGTTACGTAACTAGTAATGTAACTAATTACTAATTACTTTTGAAATAACGTAATCAGAACAGTAACATGATTACTTTTCAAAGGAGTAATCATTAATTTGATTACATTTTCAGAGTAACTTGCCCAACACTGATTTTAGTTTTTTTTTTTTACATTGTATTTCTCCTTTTATTTTATTGCAGAATCAAGCTTCCATAATTTTTAAGTAAATATTTAATTTAATTTAATTTTGTTTTGAAATAATTAAGAACTAAGCCAAGTTATCTAACAACTGAGCTAATTGTAAAATATGCACATATTTAAGATTCATTATTTCTGGGTTTTGGAAAGTTTATTAAAAAATGCTAAATAGAATTATTTTCACTAGGCATCTCTTACTTTTGGAACCCACTTTAAATTGACTTCAAATGATATTTCCTCTCATAGAAACAGTGGAAAGCTGCCTGTTTTTTGTGTTGTCTACATTGGTATATAAACATGACATTATAAGTTGTATTACCCTTCGCCACCATATTAGCTCATTCCTTATAAGCCAAACCTCACTTTTCAGGTTTATCTGCCCTAAAGGAAGGGCTGACCTCAAAACATCTTTCTCTGACAGAAAAACCAATCGCCTTCCAGTGCAAGGAACGAGACTGGTCTAGTTCAGTGGGCAGAAAGATTAAGGTTTTGACTTGACGTATTGCAGATAAAGAGAGAGGTGCCCAGAGCCTGAAGTGATGTATCACAGAAAGTTATCCTTGGGTGTTAGGAAGCATTAAGAGACATTATGTTCATTGTTCTCCTCCTCCATTTGTTTGTTTTTAGATACAGCTAATTAAGCAAGGAGTGCCTGGGGCAATAAATCCTAAATTTCATTCCACTCTTGCTCAGTTTGCAGACTTCTGGGCTGCCGTTTACTTCACTGCAGTTCTAGCGCAAATGTTCCCTTACTCAAGTGTCTTCGTTCTGTTTAGTCTTTCACCTCTAAATTGATGTTTTTGCAGCTTGTGTGCAAGGCAAATTACATTAGCTTTTAAACCACATGCAGATGTTAGTAACGATACGTAAGACAGTTTTAGAGGTTGCACAGAAGTGGAAAGTCTGGACATGTTTTGTTGGTGATTTAACCGTCTGCTGAACTAAGCAACATAGTATACTTCATCAAAGGGGCTAATTGAATGAGCAAGCACTGGCCGCTGAGGAGTTCGGGCCGGGACATTCGACATGTGTTTCCAGCCATACACCTGCAGACTGGAGGAAATGAGGTCACCGCGGAGAAGTTGGTGCATGGCAGCTGGGTCTCTGCTGAAACTTTCCCTCCCCCTCTCGTAATAAATATACATAATGAATTCCAGGAGGGTATTACACAAAACTGTGCCCATATGGAAGACAAAGACAGTATTCTATTTCACCTTCACACACTTTGGCAATTCTTTATTTTAATGATTGTCCTTCAGTGGAGTGGAGATTTTCAGAGATGGCATGAAAATCTTTTTTTCTTTTCCACCACCTGGCTGCCTCTTTTGCACTGTGCAAAATCTCGCTGCTCTCAGCCAGCACTGGTACTTGACAGGTGGAGAAGAGAAGAGGGCACATTTAAATTTAGGCACATTTAAGTTCCTCACAAGCTTTGAGCATACAAGTGGCAAGAAAATGTCTGTGGGGACAGCATTTGGTCATAGTAACAGGTGGTTATGTACATAAGGTCTTTCAAAGGGACTGTCAAAGACTTTTTTGAATGTTTTCTTTCAATAAGCACAGGTTTTAAATTTATTTTTGAAACTGAGTGGTCCTAGGCTTTATTGAGTGCATTTACATGCACATTCTTAAACTAGTTATGCTTAATAATCCGCATGGTCTTGTAAACTTGTTAAACCGTTTTTCTTAATCGAGGTAAGGTCATAAATGGCTTAAGAATTTAACTGATCGACACATGTGGATTTTTGCCCATTTTCCCGATTTCTCCCTGTATATAAGCACCTTAACCTGCGTTCTGTCGGCTTATTGAAGTGTGCATGTGTGATATGTGACAGGAAAATGTCCTTACGCCTGATTTAGGTGCAACCAACCACAGCGAGTGATTTGCAGTGGAGGAAGAAATATATATCAAACTTTTTTTGACCCAAGAAATATAAAAAATGTTTTCTCATTTCATGCAGCTATAGGATGAGGGCTACAGTTGTAAAAAACTAGTAATGACAATGATTTTTTTTCTTTTTCTTTTTCTTTTTTTGGCTAAATAGTTATGTTAGAAGCAAGCTAATATCAGAACAAACTTGATTTACATTGTCTTTATGCTGAAATGCAATAAAAAATGAACACCCTAATTTCATCGATTGTGGTATGTGCTTGTATTATGTTCGGTCATTAAAAAGCAGCTCATGATTCCTTTTTTCAAAAGCAATTACAAACCAATTAGAGTAATTACAGGAGTAGAACATAAAAAAGAAGAAAGCTTAAAGTCTCTTTCAGTACAAAGGAAGTTTCTTCACAGCCCTGAAATGTGATTACAGAAATAATTCTCCATATGTGTTGCACATTAAAACTGCCTGCTTACTGTTGTACAGTTTTGATCCATTGAGATGCTTCTCTCCCGTTTAAAGCAGGAACAAATCTATCTATGCTTAACAGTATTAATATTGACAGGCATCCTTGATTTAGTCTTAGTCTTTATCTTGAGACGAAAATGCTTAATAGTCTTAGTCACATTTTAGTCATTTGAGTCTTTCATAGTTTTAGTCTAGTTTTAGTCGACAAAATGTCATGGCATTTTTGTTAACTTTTAGTCATTACTTTTAGTCAAAATGCAGGGTCCCTCTTTATATTAAGTGGCCCTAATACCTGTGT